TAAACTCGTCAACCTGTCCTCGTCCCCACCCACATAGACTTGTTCGGCTGAAGGCATATTGTTAAGTTCCTCTTTAGTAAATACAGATACAAAATATTTATTAAAAATACTACTCATCTCTTCATCACTATCTGTTATTTGACCTGTCTCAGTTTTTAATGGACCTATCCTTTCCCTAGTCTTAGTACGATATAACTGAAAAAACCCTTTAGGATTTGTCTTTGCTTGCCCTGCTATGCGAACTTCATAGTTTCTTTTTGATTTCCTTATCTCTTTTTTAACATTTCTAGCCAGTTGTACGAATTCCTGTTCTAAAGTGACCTCCCCATTTTTAATCCTTTTGTACCAAGCTCTCTTTTTACCTATAAGGTTCTTCAAATTCTTTGTTATCCACTTTGGGTCATTAGTATTCGATCTATTCAATTTGTATGGTATCCTACGTTCCTGTGCTTTGTTTAGAATATTCTTAAATGAGTTATATATTGAATCCACATCGAAATCCCCATTTACGTCACCTATCGCTGGGTTCATGTCTCGCTCCAAGACCGGCCCCCACCCCATACCCAAGACTTTCCAATCAATTTGACCCAAAGAATTTCTTAGGCTATTAAAATCAGCTTTTCGAAAATCTGGCACTTTAACAGAATTTTCTCCTATAGGTCTATTCCATTCTATGCTAAATCTGATTTCTTTGTGATCACTGTTCCCTAGCTCACTCCCTATTTCGTTGTCATTAATTTGTGTTTCCCTGTTAGTTAACACTAAATCTAAAATATTATTTTCCCGTGTTGGTTCTTAATGTGTTGCGTAAGAAAGCAATCGTCAATTAATTCTAGAAAATCTTCTGCTTCACTATTCCCTGTTTTGTTCAACCAGTTTATTCCACTAAAATTAAAGTCACCCATGACGTAAATACTGTTAGATCTAGATGCCCTAGATATTTCATCCCATAGATGCTTTGCTTCCATTCTGTCTAAATTTGGTGGCCTATATATAACTCCTATTATAATATTATTTGCTTTTTCGTATAATTCTATCCAAATAGTTTCTGAGTGTGGCTCAGTTTTGATTCCCTCTTTGAGACTACATTTCAAATTGTCCCTAACATATATGGCTACTCCCCCTCCTCGTCTAATATATCTATCTGTGTGAAATAGTTTAAATCCATTTATTTGATATTCAGCTAATAGTTCTCTATTTTCTACGTTCATCCACGTTTCGGTAAGTGTAATAATATCTATTTTTTCTGTGCAGACAAGAGCATTTAATTCATTAATTTTATTTCTTAGACTTCTACTGTTAGTGTAATATATCCTTAGTGAATTGTTATTTTGAGGCCCTTTTCTTTCCCTGATCATTTTGCCAATTCTTTTCTCCCACGAACACATACTTTTATTACCTCCTTCCTCCAAATCAATTCCCATACCACTATCTACTAACAGTTTAAACCCAAACAAACACCTCTAACCACTGGTTCCAACGAGTTCGCAACAGCAACAACCCCAGCCCTCGATAGATGCACCCCATCACGAGCATACATTTCATTTCTTCCATAGAAGTGTTCCCAGTTGTCTATGAAAGATATTGCATTTGATTTGCAATATCTTTCCAGCCGGCAATTGACACCAAGAGCCCTCGACATCCATTCATTTCCCACTCCCTTTCTTGGAAGAATGCCACATATGATCGGGATTCCTCCCTTGCTCCTAACTAATTCAATGGCTGTCCTAAATCTCTGTATTAGTTCCTCACTCCTAACTCGTCCAACATCATTACCCCCTGCACTAATACAAATAATGGGTTTGTTCCCATTTCCCGTCATAATATCATTCATGTTTTCAACAATATCACCAATTCCAGCTCCCGGATAGCAAACCTTTAATCTGTTCCCCCTATCTCTGGCACAAAACATTCTGTCTAAATACCTCACCTGGGAATCTCCCACAACCAAAATTCGCTTCGGTACCACCCTAACTTTCTGAGCAGCCTGAGGGGCCTGCGCTCCGCCGTTCCTCGCTGATTTCCTCGCTGCAGGCGCATTACAGCACTCGTCCTCCAACACGGCAAATGAATTTGCCATCCTTAGGGCGTCTGTAGGCGGCCTTGTCAAGGTCTTTTTAAGACCTTAAGACCTTGATGTACACGTGATTCCTAATGATACTGGACTGTGATTGGTTCTCGCCTCCATTGTTCTAGTCAATGATTGGTCTCTCACCGAATCTAATGTCGCGTCACGTTAGAACAAATTTAACACAGTACAAAAAGCTTGTTAAGTTATATTAAACTTTAATTCATATAATATTGACAATTCGTCCGTCACAGGAATAAGTCTTGATGAATAATGTGGCCGCATTTGAACAAAATGTTTGAGCGTTTGGCGTTGATAACAAAGCAAGTGACATACTGTAGTGTTGTCTAGACCACACACTAGAAGTTGAAGGGACGACGACATTCTCAATCGACTTGAGAATGGTCCAGGACTGACCGAAACGTCGTCGTCCCTTCAACTTCTAGTGTGTGGTCTGGTCAACATACTTCAGCCACGTTATTGTGACTCATCGTCGACATACTGTAGTTTATGCTGAGTTTTAATTACTAATTAACGCTTTTTATTGTTTGTATACGAGAGAATGATTTTCTCAGGTTAAAATAATCTATAATTTATCCCATGTATTTTGTTAATTTGTGATTAAATAAAACAAAATTAAACAATTTTTTTCATTCCCTGGTGTTAGAAAATTTAATTATAACGAAACTTACATAAATTTTATATAATTATTTTTTGTAGATAATTTTTTAAAAAATAAATATTATATTATTGTTTCCAAGTAAAATTTATTATTCAGTTTACAAAACCAGTAAAGTGAAATTAACCTATTTATTAGCATTTATAATTTTAGGTTCAAAAAACTCAACTCATCCATAATGACATTTCTGGAATAATTAAAATAAGGCTTAATTTGATAGCTTCTATAATAATTAAAACTATTTCCTAAATATAGAAAAATAATAGGTTAAATATATATATATATATGACTTAGAAACACGAAAATATTGCTAGATATATATGTACAGTAGTACATATATGTTGTACAATTGCATGGTGTGTGTGTATATATATATATATATATATATATATATATATATATATATATATATATATATATATATATATATATATATATATATATATATATATATATATATATATATATATATATATATGTCGTACCTAATAGCCAGAACGCACTTCTCAGCCTACTATGCAAGGCCAAATTTGCATAATAAGCCAAGTTTTCCCGAATTAATATATTTTCTCTAATTTCTTTCTTAAGAAATGATAAAGCTACCCGTTTCATTATGTATGAGGCCAATTTTTTTTATTGGAGTTAAAATTAACGTAGATATATGACCGAACCTAACCAACCCTACCTAACCTAACCTAACCTATATTTATAGATAAGGTTAGGTTAGGTAGCCAAAAAAAGCTAGGTTAGGTTAGGTTAGGTAGGTTAGGTAGACGAAAAAACATTAATTCATGAAAACTTGGCTTATTAGGCAAATCGGGCCTTGAATAGTAGGCTGAGAAGTGCGTTCTGGCTATTAGGTACGACATATATATATATATATATATATATATATATATATATATATATATATATATATATATATATATATATATATATATGTCGTACCTAGTAGCCAGAATGCACTTCTCAGCCTACTATGCAAGGCCCGATTTGCCTAATAAGCCAAGTTTTCCTGAATTAATATATTTTCTCAAATTTTTTCTTATGAAATGATAAAGCTACCCATTTCATTATGTATGAGGTCAATTTTTTTTATTGGAGTTAAAATTGACGTAGATATATGACCGAACCTAACCAACCCTACCTAACCTATCTTTATAGGTTAGGTTAGGTAGCCGAAAAAGTTAGGTTAGGTAGTCGAAAAACAATTAATTCATGAAAACTTGGCTTATTAGGCAAATCGGGCCTTGCATAGTAGGCCGAGAAGTGCGTTCTGGCTACTAGGTACGACATATATATATATATATATATATATATATATATATATATATATATATATATATATATATATATATATATATATATATACAACTTTAGAACACTTTCCCACCAGGAGACTCGAACCCTAGCCAGCACAGAAGCCTTCCAGCAACTGGCATAACAGGTACGCCTTAACCCTCTGCACCACCGCTCAGACCCTTAAAAGAGATGGTAATTTCGGAGTATTTAAATCCCCCAAAGATCAACACCTCCCAAGAGCACCAGAGCAAGTGAGGGGTCATTTAGACGTTAATTTCATCAAGTCCCTGTTAATATGGGAAGACACAGTGTCTCTGCTTAAGGCACAACTCTCCTAAACACGAGAGTTAAGTATACAACTTTAGAACACTTTCCCACCAGGAGACTCGAACCCTAGCCAGCACAGAAGCCTTCCAGCAACTGGCATAACAGGTACGCCTTAACCCTCTGCACCACCGCTCAGACCCTTAAAAGAGATGGTAATTTCGGAGTATTTAAATCCCCCAAAGATCAACACCTCCCAAGAGCACCAGAGCAAGTGAGGGGTCATTTAGACGTTAATTTCATCAAGTTTCATCAAGTTGTATACTTAACTCTCGTGTTTAGGAGAGTTGTGCCTTAAGCAGAGACACTGTGTCTTCCCATATTAACAGGGACTTGATGAAATTAACGTCTAAATGACCCCTCACTTGCTCTGGTGCTCTTGGGAGGTGTTGATCTTTGGGGGATTTAAATACTCCGAAATTACCATCTCTTTTAAGGGTCTGAGCGGTGGTGCAGAGGGTTAAGGCGTACCTGTTATGCCAGTTGCTGGAAGGCTTCTGTGCTGGCTAGGGTTCGAGTCTCCTGGTGGGAAAGTGTTCTAAAGTTGTATATATATATATATATATATATATATATATATATATATATATATATATATATATATATATATATATATTAGTACACAGGAAGGGTGGAGACTCTTGTAACATAAACAAAACTAAAATAACAAAATAAACTTTATCCAAGGTGTTAGAGAACACAAAGATGGATGAAACTCTTGACAGCTTAATTATGAGAATTAAGATATGGCAGAAGGACCAGGAACGCGATTGTAATCCTATTTCATTCTCTCAATACAATTTTACTTCAAGAAATTACATTTTCTATTCTGTTATACCATTTTGAGAAAGAAAATTTAGCTAATTTTTTTTTTTTGACATTGTTCCCTCAGATGATCCTCGATTGAAAACACTTCACTAATTAACTTTGAAAAGAAAATTAATAAATAATAAAATAGTATAAATTCCAATTAATATCAATATATAAAACAAATAAAATAATTAATAATATTATAACATAAATGTACGTGCATAATTATAATTATATAACAACTTATTTATTGAAAAAAAACGTAGATATAAGGGTTGACAATTGTGTTTTCTGTGTAGAAAACGCGTATCTAATTCGTTATCACTGACCAACAGGAAATAATACAAGAGACTCTACATCCATTTTAGTGCACAAACAGACTGTAATCACGGGCACCGTTGTTCCCATTTTTGTGCACAAACATGGAACAACGTATCTTATACTAAGCTTATTTCTTATCGGAAACATTCATGATCAAAGGAACTGAAATTCGTCCATTGTGTTCCATTGAGTTCAGTTTGTTCCAAGTTGTTGTTCCCTTGAGCAGAGTTTTTCACAGTGTTCTTTAAAACTGAGTTTGTTCAAGTTATTTCCTAGAATTGAGTTTGTTCAGTGTTCATTAGAACTTTGTAAAAATAATTCTATCAACTTTCTTACAAAAATATACAACCATTTGGCAGCTTATATTAAGCCTAACTAGGAGTCACTTACTCTTGGTCCAGTGACACTTTTTTTACTTAGAGGCGACACTTTCTCCCGCCCTAATAGAGAGAAAGTGACATTTTTATCCCCTAATAGAGAGACAGTGATCATTTTATCCAACTAATAAAGAAAGTGACAGTTTCTCCCCCCTAATAGGCAGCAAGTGACAGTTTCTCCCCCTAATAGGCTGAAAGTGACAGTTTCTCCCCCCTAATAGGCAGAAAGTGACAGTTTCTCCCCCTAATAGGCAGAAAGTGACAGTTTCTCCCCCCTAATAGGCAGAAAGTAACAGTTTCTCCCCCCTAATAGGCAGAAAGTAACAGTTTCTCCCCCCCTAATAGGCAGAAAGTGACAGTTTCTCCCCCCTAATAGGCAGAAAGTGACAGTTTCTCCCCCCTAATAGGCAGCAAGTGACCCCCATTCCTTCCTCGGTTCCGACAGAATGTGACACATCAAAGACAGAAAAATGACAAGTTCTCCTCTCCCCCCCCCACCCCCTCGTGAGACAGATCTCTCTCACTATCGATACCTGGAGATAAATCTCCAAGCCAGCAGACAGGCGACAGACAGACACAAGCCTCGGGAGACAGTGATGGTGACAGTGATTGAGAACCTGCCGGTGTTGCTGGTGTTGCCGGTGTTGCTGGTGTTGCCGGTGTTGCTGGTGTTGGCCTGTAAGGGGGAATAAAATATGTGTTAGGCGAAGCAACACAACATGAAACTAGATGAGTACACACATATATGAAAGGAACCTCAAGTCTCAATTAATAATTAACTACTGTTGGCAGAGGTAAAGTTTCCCTCCATGTTGTATCATACCAGGACAGTACAACAGCATCAGGACAGTACAACAACAACAAGACAGTACAACAACAGGACAGTACAACAACATCAGGACAGTACAACAACATCAGGACAGTACAACAACATCAGGACAGTACAACAACATCAGGACAGTACAACAACATCAGGACAGTACAACAACATCAGGACAGTACAACAACAACAGGACAGTACAACAACAGGACAGTACAACAACATCAGGACAGTACAACAACATCAGGACAGTACAACAACATCAGGACAGTACAACAACAGGACAGTACAACAACAGGACAGTACAACAACAGGACAGTACAACAACATTAGGACAGTACAACAACAGGACAGTACAACAACATCAGGACAGTACAACAACATCAGGACAGTACAACAACAGGACAGTACAACAACATCAGGACAGTACAACAACATCAGGACAGTACAACAACAGGACAGTACAACAACATTAGGACAGTACAACAACAGGACAGTACAACAACATCAGGACAGTACAACAACAGGACAGTACAACAACATTAGGACAGTACAACAACAGGACAGTACAACAACAGGACAGTACAACAACATTAGGACAGTACAACAACAGGACAGTACAACAACATCAGGACAGTACAACAACAGGACAGTACAACAACAGGACAGTACAACAACAGGACAGTACAACAACATTAGGACAGTACAACAACAGGACAGTACAACAACATCAGGACAGTACAACAACAGGACAGTACAACAACATCAGGACAGTACAACAACAGGACAGTACAACAACATTAGGACAGTACAACAACAGGACAGTACAACAACAGGACAGTACAACAACATTAGGACAGTACAACAACAGGACAGTACAACAACATCAGGACAGTACAACAACAGGACAGTACAACAACATTAGGACAGTACAACAACAGGACAGTACAACAACATTAGGACAGTACAACAACAGGACAGTACAACAACATCAGGACAGTACAACATCAGGACAGTACAACAACATTAGGACAGTACAACAACAGGACAACATCAGGACAGTACAACATCAGGACAGTACAACATCAGGACAGTACAACAACAGAACAACATCAGGACAGTACAACAACAGAACAACATCAGGACAGTACAACAACAGGACAGTACAACAACAGGACAGTACAACAACAGGACAGTACAACATCAGGACAGTACAACAACAGGACAGTACAACAACAGGACAGTACAACAACAGGACAGTACAACAACAGGACAGTACAACAACAGGACAGTACAACATCAGGACAGTACAACAACAGGACAGTACAACAACAGGACAGTACAACAACAGGACAGTACAACATCAGGACAGTACAACAACAGAACAACATCAGGACAGTACAACATCAGGACAGTACAACAACAGAACAACATCAGGACAGTACAACAACAGGACAGTACAACAACAGGACAGTACAACAACAGGACAGTACAACAACAGGACAGTACAACAACAGGACAGTACAACAACATCAGGACAGTACAACATTAGGACAGTACAACAACAGAACAACATCAGGACAGTACAACATCAGGACAGTACAACAACAGAACAACATCAGGACAGTACAACAACAGAACAACATCAGGACAGTACAACATCAGGACAGTACAACAACAGAACAACATCAGGACAGTACAACAACAGAACAACATCAGGACAGTACAACAACAGAACAACATCAGGACAGTACAACAACAGGACAGTACAACAACAGAACAACATCAGGACAGTACAACAACAGAACAACATCAGGACAGTACAACAACAGAACAGTATCAGGACAGTACAACATCAGGACAGTACAACAACAGAACAACATCAGGACAGTACAACATCAGGACAGTACAACAACAGAACAACATCAGGACAGTACAACATCAGGACAGTACAACAACAGAACAACATCAGGACAGTACAACAACAGAACAACATCAGGACAGTACAACAACAGAACAACATCAGGACAGTACAACATCAGGACAGTACAACAACAGAACAACATCAGGACAGTACAACAACAGAACAACATCAGGACAGTACAACATCAGGACAGTACAACAACAGAACAACATCAGGACAGTACAACAACAGAACAACATCAGGACAGTACAACATCAGGACAGTACAACAACAGAACAACATCAGGACAGTACAACAACAGAACAACATCAGGACAGTACAACATCAGGACAGTACAACAACAGAACAACATCAGGACAGTACAACAACAGAACAACATCAGGACAGTACAACATCAGGACAGTACAACATCAGGACAGTACAACATCAGGACAGTACAACAACAGAACAACATCAGGACAGTACAACAACAGAACAACATCAGGACAGTACAACAACAGAACAACATCAGGACAGTACAACATCAGGACAGTACAACATCAGGACAGTACAACAACAGAACAACATCAGGACAGTACAACATCAGGACAGTACAACAACAGAACAACATCAGGACAGTACAACATCAGGACAGTACAACAACAGAACAACATCAGGACAGTACAACATCAGGACAGTACAACAACAGAACAACATCAGAACAGTACAACATCAGGACAGTACAACAACAGAACAACATCAGGACAGTACAACAACAGAACAACATCAGGACAGTACAACAACAGAACAACATCAGGACAGTACAACAACAGAACAACATCAGGACAGTACAACATCAGGACAGTACAACAACAGAACAACATCAGGACAGTACAACATCAGGACAGTACAACATCAGGACAGTACAACAACAGAACAACATCAGGACAGTACAACATCAGGACAGTACAACATCAGGACAGTACAACAACAGAACAACATCAGGACAGTACAACATCAGGACAGTACAACAACAGAACATCAGGACAGTACAACATCAGGACAGTACAACATCAGGACAGTACAACAACAGAACAACATCAGGACAGTACAACATCAGGACAGTACAACAACAGAACAACATCAGGACAGTACAACATCAGGACAGTACAACATCAGGACAGTACAACAACAGAACAACATCAGGACAGTACAACAACAGAACAACATCAGGACAGTACAACATCAGGACAGTACAACATCAGGACAGTACAACAACAGAACAACATCAGGACAGTACAACATCAGGACAGTACAACAACAGAACAACATCAGGACAGTACAACATCAGGACAGTACAACAACAGAACAACATCAGGACAGTACAACAACAGAACAACATCAGGACAGTACAACAACAGAACAACATCAGGACAGTACAACATCAGGACAGTACAACATCAGGACAGTACAACATCAGGACAGTACAACAACAGAACAACATCAGGACAGTACAACAACAGAACAACATCAGGACAGTACAACATCAGGACAGTACAACATCAGGACAGTACAACATCAGGACAGTACAACATCAGGACAGTACAACAACAGAACAACATCAGGACAGTACAACATCAGGACAGTACAACAACAGAACAACATCAGGACAGTACAACACAGAACAACATCAGGACAGTACAACATCAGGACAGTACAACATCAGGACAGTACAACATCAGGACAGTACAACAACAGAACAACATCAGGACAGTACAACATCAGGACAGTACAACAACAGAACAACATCAGGACAGTACAACAACAGAACAACATCAGGACAGTACAACAACAGAACAACATCAGGACAGTACAACATCAGGACAGTACAACATCAGGACAGTACAACATCAGGACAGTACAACAACAGAACAACATCAGGACAGTACAACATCAGGACAGTACAACAACAGAACAACATCAGGACAGTACAACAACAGAACAACATCAGGACAGTACAACAACAGAACAACATCAGGACAGTACAACATCAGGACAGTACAACAACAGAACAACATCAGGACAGTACAACAACAGAACAAACATCAGGACAGTACAACATCAGGACAGTACAACAACAGAACAACATCAGGACAGTACAACATCAGGACAGTACAACAACAGAACAACATCAGGACAGTACAACAACAGAACAACATCAGGACAGTACAACATCAGGACAGTACAACATCAGGACAGTACAACAACAGAACAACATCAGGACAGTACAACATCAGGACAGTACAAGAACAGAACAACATCAGGACAGTACAACAACAGAACAACATCAGGACAGTACAACAACAGAACAACATCAGGACAGTACAACATCAGGACAGTACAACAACAGAACAACATCAGGACAGTACAACAACAGAACAACATCAGGACAGTACAACAACAGAACAACATCAGGACAGTACAACATCAGGACAGTACAACAACAGAACAACATCAGGACAGTACAACAACAGTACAACAACAGTACAACAACAGAACAACATCAGGACAGTACAACAACAGTACAACATCAGGACAGTACAACAACAGAACAACAACAGTACAACAACAGTACACAACAGTACAACAACAGGACAGTACAACAACAGTACAACAACAGTACAACAACAGTACAACAACAGGACAGTACAACAACAGTACAACAACAGTACAACAACAGTACAACAACAGTACAACAACAGGACAGTACAACAACAGTACAACAACAGTACAACAACAGTACAACAACAGTACAACAACAGGACAGTACAACAACAGTACAACAACAGTACAACAACAGTACAACAACAGTACAACAACAGGACAGTACAACAACAGTACAACAACAGTACAACAACAGTACAACAACAGTACAACAACAGGACAGTACAACAACAGGACAGTACAACAACAGGACAGTACAACAACAGGACAGTACAACAACAGGACAGTACAACAACAGTACAACAACAGTACAACAACAGGACAGTACAACAACAGGACAGTACAACAACAGTACAACAACAGTACAACAACAGGACAGTACAACAACAGTACAACAACAGTACAACAACAGGACAGTACAACAACAGGACAGTACAACAACAGTACAACAACAGTACAACAACAGGACAGTACAACAACAGTACAACAACAGTACAACAACAGGACAGTACAACAACAGTACAACAACAGTACAACAACAGTACAACAACAGTACAACAACAGTACAACAACAGTACAACAACAGGACAGTACAACAACAGGACAGTACAACAACAGGACAGTACAACAACAGTACAACAACAGACAGTACAACACACAGTACAACAACAGTACAACAACAGGACAGTACAACAACAGTACAACAACAGTACAACAACAGTACAACAACAGACAGTACAGGACAGTACAACAACAGTACAACAACAGGACAGTACAACAACAGGACAGTACAACAACAGGACAGTACAACAACAGGACAGTACAACAACAGGACAGTACAACAACAGTACAACAACAGGACAGTACAACAACAGGACAGTACAACAACAGGACAGTACAACAACAGTACAACAACAGTACAACAACAGGACAGTACAACAACAGTACAACAACAGGACAGTACAACAACAGGACAGTACAACAACAGTACAACAACAGTACAACAACAGGACAGTACAACAACAGTACAGTACAACAACAGTACAACAACAGTACAACAACAGGACAGTACAACAACAGTACAACAACAGGACAGTACAACACAGTACAACAACAGGACAGTACAACAACAGTACAACAACAGTACAACAACAGTACAACAACAGTACAACAACAGTACAACAACAGGACAGTACAACAACAGGACAGTACAACAACAGGACAGTACAACAACAGGACAGTACAACAACAGTACAACAACAGTACAACAACAGGACAGTACAACAACAGTACAACAACAGTACAACAACAGTACAACAACAGTACAACAGTACAACAACAGTACAACAACAGTACAACAACAGTACAACAACAGTACAACAACAGGACAGTACAACAACAGGACAGTACAACAACAGGACAGTACCACAACAGGACAGTACCACAACAGGACAGTACCACAACAGGACAGTACAACAACAGGACAGTACAACAACAGGACAGTACCACAACAGGACAGTACCACAACAGGACAGTACCACAACAGGACAGTACAACAACAGGACAGTACAACAACAGGACAGTACAACAACAGGACAGTACCACAACAGGACAGTACAACAACAGGACAGTACAACAACAGGACAGTACAACAACAGGACAGTACAACAACATCAGGACAGTACCACAACAGGACAGTACCACAACAGGACAGTACCACAACAGGACAGTACCACAACAGGACAGTACAACAACAGGACAGTACCACAACAGGACAGTACAACAACAGTACAACAACAGTACAACAACAGTACAACAACAGTACAACAACAGGACAGTACAACAACAGGACAGTACAACAACAGTACAACAACAGTACAACAACAGTACAACAACAGGACAGTACAACAACAGGACAGTACAACAACAGGACAGTACCACAACAGGACAGTACCACAACAGGACAGTACCACAACAGGACAGTACAACAACAGGACAGTACAACAACAGGACAGTACAACAACAGGACAGTACCACAACAGGACAGTACAACAACAGGACAGTACAACAACAGGACAGTACAACAACAGGACAGTACAACAACATCAGGACAGTACCACAACAGGACAGTACCACAACAGGACAGTACCACAACAGGACAGTACCACAACAGGACAGTACCACAACAGGACAGTACAACAACAGGACAGTACCACAACAGGACAGTACAACAACATCAGGACAGTACCACAACAGGACAGTACAACAACAGGACAGTACAACAACAGGACAGTACAACAACAGGACAGTACAACAACATCAGGACAGTACCACAACAGGACAGTACCACAACAGGACAGTACCACAACAGGACAGTACCACAACAGGACAGTACCACAACAGGACAGTACAACAACAGGACAGTACCACAACAGGACAGTACAACAACATCAGGACAGTACCACAACAGGACAGTACAACAACAGGACAGTACAACAACAGGACAGTACAACAACAGGACAGTACAACAACATCAGGACAGTACCACAACAGGACAGTACCACAACAGGACAGTACCACAACAGGACAGTACCACAACAGGACAGTACAACAACAGGACAGTACAACAACATCAGGACAGTACCACAGCAGGACAGTACCACAACAGGACAGTACCACAACAGGACAGTACCACAACAGGACAGTACAACAACAGGACAGTACAACAACAGGACAGTACAACAACAGGACAGTACAACACATCAGGACAGTACCACAACAGGACAGTACCACAACAGGACAGTACCACAACAGGACAGTACAACAACAGGACAGTACAACAACAGGACAGTACCACAACAGGACAGTACAACAACATCAGGACAGTACCACAACAGGACAGTACCACAACAGGACAGTACCACAACAGGACAGTACAACAACAGGACAGTACAACAACAGGACAGTACAACACAGGACAGTACAGTACCACAACAGGACAGTACCACAACAGGACAGTACAACAACAGGACAGTACAACAACAGACAGTACAACAACAGAACAGTACAACAACAGGACAGTACCACAACAGGACAGTACCACAACAGGACAGTACAACAACAGGACAGTACAACAACAGGACAGTACAACAACAGGACAGTACACACAGGACAGTACCACAACAGACAGTACCACAACAGGACAGTACCACAACAGGACAGTACAACAACAGGACAGTACAACAACAGGACAGTACAACAACAGGACAGTACCACAACAGGACAGTACCACAACAGGACAGTACAACAACAGGACAGTACAACAACAGGACAGTACAACAACAGGACAGTACAACAACATCAGGTACCCACAACAGGACAGTACCACAACAGGACAGTACCACAACAGGACAGTACAACAACAGGACAGTACAACAACATCAGGACAGTACCACAACAGGACAGTACCACAACAGGACAGTACCACAACAGGACAGTACAACAACAGGACAGTACAACAACAGGACAGTACAACAACAGAACAGTACAACAACAGGACAGTACAACAACAGAACAGTACAACAACAGGACAGTACCACAACAGGACAGTACCACAACAGGACAGTACAACAACAGGACAGTACAACAACAGGACAGTACAACAACAGGACAGTACAACAACAGAACAGTTCCACAACAGGACAGTACCACAACAGGACAGTACAACAACAGGACAGTACCACAACAGGACAGTACCACAACAGGACAGTACCACAACAGGACAGTACAACAACAGGACAGTACAACAACAGGACAGTACCACAACAGGACAGTACCACAACAGGACAGTACAACAACAGGACAGTACAACAACAGGACAGTACAACAACAGGACAGTACCACAACAGGACAGTACAACAACAGGACAGTACAACAGGACAGTACAACAACAGAACAGTACAACAACAGGACAGTACCACAACAGGACAGTACCACAACAGGACAGTACAACAACAGGACAGTACAACAACAGGACAGTACAACAACAGGACAGTACAACAACAAGACAGTACAACAACATCAGGACAGTACAACAACAGGACAGTACAACAACAGGACAGTACAACAACAGAACAGTACCACAAGAGGACAGTACAACAACAGGACAGTACCACAACAGGACAGTACAACAACAGGACAGTACCACAACAGGACAGTACAACAACAGGACAGTACAACAACGGACAGTACCACAACAGGACAGTACCCACAACAGAACAGTACCACAACAGGACAGTACCACAACAGGACAGTACAACAACAGGACAGTACCACAACAGAACAGTACCACAACAGGACAGTACAACAACAGGACAGTACCACAACAGGACAGTACAACAACAGGACAGTACCACAACAGGACAGTACAACAACAGGACAGTACCACAACAGGACAGTACCACAACAGGACAGTACAACAACAGGACAGTACAACAACAGGACAGTACCACAACAGAACAGTACCACAACAGGACAGTACAACAACAGGACAGTACAACAACAGGACAGTACCACAACAGAACAGTACCACAACAGGACAGTACAACAACAGACAGTACCACAACAGGACAGTACCACAACAGGACAGTACCACAACAGGACAGTACCACAACAGAACAGTACCACAACAGGACAGTACCACAACAGGACAGTACAACAACAACACTCACCTCAGCCTGACGCTGCTGGAACTGGTCAGCCACTGTCCTCAGCTCCTGTCCCAAACGTTTCCACATTTCTCGCGCGTCTTCTATCAAGGTTTCTCTCCCTCTCGCCTCCTCTAGCGAGGTCTCTCCCTCACCTCTGGTGTCTAGGGAGGTGTCTCCCTCACCTGAGGTGTCTAGGGAGGTGTCTCCCTCACCTGAGGTGTCTAGGGAGGTGTCTCCCTCACCCGTCAGGTGCCGTGGGCGTGGTGTGAGGGGCCAGGTCAGCCTGGGGGCGTGGTGCGGCAGCGGCGGATTCGTCTGGATTTGTTGACGAACGCGGCGGATGCGTTCCAAGCTCGCTCTGGCGCTCGCGGTGTCACGCGAGGTGTCAGGGATGGTGGAGGGAGGCTCGTGGCGCGATCTATGGTGTTGGGTGGGCGTGGAGCGGGCGTGAGGAAGGGGTGCACGCGTTAAGAGGCGGCCCTGGCTTGTGGGGGCGTGGGGGTGGCTGGCGTGGGCGTGGCTGGCGTGGGCGTGCTTATCCATGGGATCAGGAGGAGGAGAGAGCGGGTGGTGGGCGTGGGTGGGCGGGGTGTTACTGGAGATCACATCCGCAAGGTCCGCGCCTGCAACCATCAACATGTAATTATAATGCTCCAATTAATGTAATTATATATATACATATTATATATATATATATCTATATATATATATAGATATATATATATATATATATCTATATATATATTATATATATATATATTATATATATATATATATATATATATATATATATATATCCCATAAATACATCCAACTCACCTACGACTAGACTCTGTACATCCATGTCTCCAAGATTCATGACGCCGAACGACACGGCGCCAACCTGCACGATCATGTTCATCATGACGCTATAAGATCTGTGAGAGAGGCTCTGAGCGCACTACGAGACACTACCTCCCACCACCGATGTCTGGGGGTTACTGGCGGCTGTGATTGATAGCGTCACTGGCGCCCAGCGACAAGTGCTCGCGCGCTCCTCCCACCAACATTGAGTTGCCAATAATGCGTATTATTTATTGCAATTATTTTCCTTATA